CAAACAAACAAACAAACAAACAAACAAACAAACAAACAAACAAACAACAGCCAATAAGGTAATTAGACAGATGTTTTCTATATTAAACCAAATGTTTTTAACCACCAATTTCACTACCCCCTCTACCCATGCTAAAGAGAATCCCTGACCTTCTTAGTACCACAGGGTTAAGTATACTGTATACCTCACAGACCAATCACTAACCTCAAGAACTACCTTCTCTCTGCTTGTGAATTTTTTTGAAGGCTTTAAACATTCCAGGCATTTATGATCCTACCATTAGCAGTCTGTGATGATCCTGCAGAGTGTCCAAGTCTTGGTTTGGATTAATAGGCAAGATCTCATTTTTCCTTCTGTCAATGTTCTCCAACCAAAGCAGCAAACCATGGCTCATTTCATGGAAATCCTACAAGAGACATGTGAGATCTTAAGAGAGCCCTGAATTATGCTGAGGTTTTCTGCCACATCCTATTTCCCACAACAGATTCGATTGGCTATATTCTTATATTACTATAGTATTACAAGCCTATATTAGTATACTATATTACAGTATTATTGCAAATACTTGATGGGCCTGATACCCCAGCCACTGCATGAATACTGTTCTGCTCTGGTAGTGGTTTACACCCACTTTGCATTTGCTTTGCATAGGTGTGAATGCTAGCATACAGAATATAGCTGTGGAGAATCATCTTTTAACTATACTTCAGTTTAGAATACCTGGAACATGGACTTAGAACACATGCTTCAGGTAACGCACAAAGATCTTTCAAGAGCCAGGCTTCACAAACTGCATTTTAGTTTGCATATGTGGGCAGAATTAGGTTTGATCTTTCAGAGTAGGAAACTGTGAAGTGTGTGTGTGTGTCTGTGTGTGAGAGAGAAAATGAATCCCACCATCTCTAGAATTCCTCATTATGTCCAAGAAGGGAACAAGATCCCACACACCAATACTGACCTGACATTGCATTAGCGCATCCTGCAGTGAGCAACGCCATTCTTCAATCATACTGCATACACGTTCCCAGCGCATGTTCATCTGAGATAGGCGCTCCTGCAGCTTCTTGCTTTCTTCGCTATCAGATTGAGTGAATTCGGAGCTGCACAGGTTGATGGACAGGACGATCGCTTTGCGGTTATCAACAGCTTTCTGCAACTCCTGGATGACAGGAGAATGGAGTTAAAAACACCCAGTAAGCATGCTACAGACTTTTAGAAGAATCAAATGTAGTGGTTGCCATTAAAGAGCAATTATTTGCTGTACGGTAATGCAAGAGTATTTTAGCTAACCAGGTTCCCTCTTTACTTAGGACAGGAAATATCTGTGGCAATTGTGGTAATACTGCAAATGTTCACTCTTTAACATCTACTATTTTATGTTCGCAATAAAACTTAGTATAAGCCAGTTAAACTTTTAAGATTTAAAACCCTGTTGTCATGGCTAAATTTTAAAGATCAGAAGAACTGGCTTGTGTTTCAAATGTCTGAAAGACGAGGAAGGCCTGGCAAAAAACATACAGCCTAGTTATGCAAATGTTGGAGCAAATATGAGATACAGGGAAAAATTGTGGTATAGCTCCTGACAAATGCTTGACAACACTAAAGCTTCTGCCTCTCAGTTATGTTGAAAATTATGTTGGCTTTTTTATGTTCATCATCTTGAGACCACAGTCCATATTATTCTTTTTTTTTTCTTCCAAAGGAGAAAAAGAGGATTCTTGTGGAAGATTCCATTTTTCTCTCTAGTTTACATCCTTTTCCCCATGTCCTCATAATGCCCCATATCACAGTGAGGGCACCTGGACTGGATTCCATCTAAAACACATTAATGCTGCTCCTGAATTGACTAGAGGGGTCACTGAAAGCAGCATTCTCTCTCTCCCCAATACTCCAAGTGCTGAACATGCTGCCTTCACATTGGCTCTGACATCCTTCTCGCCCAGGGTAGGAGACACTCAATCCAGCAACTGAACCTGGGTTGGTAGAGTGGTAGCAGAGTGCACCAAGCTTAGGACCCCTAGGAGGGCACAATGTCAGGACCCAGAGAAAGAAGAGATTGTAATGAACAGAAAAATAGAAGAGTACCATTTCTTTTAAAAACGGCTGGGTTTTGCCATGAGCTGGGCTAGGACAGATTTTAATTTACTTAACTTGGCCTTTTCTCAGCTTCATTAATTCAGCTGGCTTCTGCTATTCTGAAAATGTAGCTTGCATATAGAGTGGTTTCCAACATTTATTTGGAATTTCAGGAAAATGGTGGTGGTTTATTTTTCTGCAAATAAGTGATTTCTCAAACCATTTTTCCAGTTCCTCACCCCAATCATTAGTCACATTCTCCTGTGCAGGGAATGCAGAAAGTGAATACCAAATATCAACTATATCTCATGAATGGAGTGCAATGCACAGGATGCATAGTAGGCCATTACTGAAGCAACTGCCAGAAAACGGAGATAAAACCTTACTTTCAGTTTTTTAATTCGGAGCTCAATGGTTTGTATGTCGGTGCTGAGATCAAGATGACAGAGTTTCTCTAGCTCCTCTTCAGTCTCCAGTAACCAAACCCAAATGTTGTTCAGGTCAGAGTTGAACTGCTGCCACTGCTGAAGGTTCTGTTTCATTCTGAGTTCCTTGCTTAGAGCTTGGGCCTGGATTAACTCCCAGCGATCAATCACACCTGCCCAAACAGAGACATAACACAATAAAAACAAAGGCATATACATAATATGCACAATTACATCCATGTTTACATTAAATACAACACTCAGTATACAGCAGCCTAAACAAAACATTATCACACAGAACATTAAGTTAAGACAACACTGGGTACGTGGCTTTACATAGCAAAAGATGGACCAGCTCATCTAAGTCTTTTTCAACTCTCACTTCTATGACTTTATGCAATTAAATATTTAGCCCACTGTGTAGTATACAAGGGATATACTATCCGTCTATATTTGCACGCACACTTATACCTACCTATATTACAGCACTTACGTTTACTAAACTCTTTGCAGACATTAGTTAATCTTCACAACAGCCCTGCGATGTAGGCAATTATATTATTATCCCCACTTTACAGTTGGGGACACTGAGGCAAGAGACTAAGTGGCTTGTCCAAGGCTACACAGCAAATCCATGCCACAGCCAGGATTAGAACTCAGGAGTGCCTTATTTCTCTCCTGAAACCTAGTCCCATGGATAAAGCTGTTTCATTCATATAACGAATGACTGTGTGTGCAATAAGGATTTTGTATTTGCAGATGGCCATTTATATATTTAACTAGCCATCTGCACATATAATTATTGCTATCTGCACACATCCTTGGACCTTTTCAATAAAAACGCTTGTCCTTCCATAAATATGTTTAAATTACTGCCAGTGTAGAAGACAAACATCTACGTTACATGGAGATAAGTAAAGGCTGTTTTCCATAGTCATTCACCCCATGTGCATGTGGTTTAGAGAGGAGCAGGTTACAATATTCACTTTGCTAAAAATGTAAAAGTAATTTAGATCAGTGATTAAAATAGGCACAAAGGGTATTTTGTAAACTCAACTTTAAACCCTTTTTTCCTATCAGAAGATATCTAACTTGTATGTACAGCATCTAGAGAGATTTGCTCAAGTGCTTAGGGATAGATATAATGTGATGAGTTACTTAAAATGGTCAATATGAAGCAAATTCCTACTTTCCTGCATAATCCCAAGTGCTTACTCTGACAATACTATACATATTGCTGCTCATTTCATATGTGTTTCCCATGGAAGGATTCAACACTACGTACCAGCTGTTTGTGTTTCAGTACTATTCAGGTTTATAAATCCAGAGAGCTTTTCCTCTTCCTCTTTCAGTTTGTAACCAAGCCTTTTGACTGAGTCTATGCTGCCACTGCACTCACCCAGTAGCTTCATCTGTTTAAAAATAAATAGTTCTCATTAATCTATGCCATGGTAGAATAACTCTAGAGGTAAAAGGCTAATTACAAAGCAATTTTCAAAAACATTCTGAAAATGGGTCTTGACATGACAGAATGGGAAGCAGTCTATTGTTTTAATGATCTGCCAATTGTGAGGGTATCTTTCTGTCTCAAAAGCCATTAGATACCCTGGCCAATACAATCTCAATGAGATGCGGTGTGTCTCGATATTATTTTTATCATTTTTGCATTGATCCACACACAAAAAAGAACTGTACATGTGAGATTTAAGGGATTAAACGTAGAGTAGAGGCCCAAACGCCACTAACAGAAATAATTCAGTGCCACTGTATCAGGATATTGCCAGAGTCAAAGAATGGATGTCTTCAGGTGACATTTTTTCTATAAACACTAAGACACTAGGACGGTGGTGTCCAAACTTTTGAGTGTCATGCCCCCCCTTTACCCCTGTGCGCCCCGCCAAGCCATGGCTGGGAGCGGGGCCATGGCTCAGTTGGTGGGTGGAGAGAAACGATCGCGAACAGGGGTAAGGGGGCCAAGGCTGAGGCTGCAGCTGGAGGTGGGGCTGGAGCCACAGCCCGGGGCCGAGGCTGGGGCAGGACCTGGACTGAGGTGGGGGCTAGCAGCCGGGCCCTTGCCCAGGTGTGGCTCTGCTCCCAGCCCTGCTCCCTGCCTTGACCCTGGTCCGTGAATGGAGCCGTGGCCAGCAGCTGAGGCTGGGGGCAGGGCCGGGAGCAAAGCCGCACTGAGGCTGGGGCCAGGGCCAGGGCCAGGTGCAGGACTGGCTGCAGGGATGTGGCTGCGGGTGGGACCAGAGCAGAGCTGGGGGCGGGGAGCACTGGATGACGCTCCCTCCCTGCACCCCGTGGGGGCTGGCCTGGGCCCTGCCACGCCCTTTTGAAGGTTCCTCCGCGTGTCCCTGGGAGGGGAGACGCACGCCACAGTTTGGGGACATCTGCCCTAGTAGCTGGAAAAAAGAGGATACTGCGAGACTTGGGGAGTGAAAGAAAGTTACACAAGAGTGGAAAAATTATGGTGTATCCACACACAAAATCTTTCTGACAGGAATGTCATAGAATCATAGAAATGTAGGACTGAAAGGGACCTCGAGAAGTCATCAAGCCCATCCTGCTGCACAAAGGGAGGACCAAATTAAACCTAGCTGCTTACAATGCTGTTTGTTGAGGTTTATTCTACAAAGTTTTCTCATAAAATTTTTTATCACTGATTCCCATATACAACATGTTTATAATGCGTCATTAAAACAAATATCAGGCATTAGTCTATAAAATTCTGATTTTAAGAGGTAAGGAAGTTTTTTTTAGAAAACAAGAATGATCTCAGAGGGATAAATGGGTGCGTGTGAAATTACTCTGGGATATCGACACAAATTTAATTGGAAAATGAACCTACTGGGGTTATGTTCCTACAATCTCATGGTATTATAAACTCACAAATAATTACATAACCTTAAAGTAACAATAACTGTATGTGATTGAGGGTAGAGATTGTGTGTGTGTGAATGGGGCTGAGAGGCAGTAATAGCTTTATACCGAACCATCTGTTCTATTGCAAGAGCCATTTTTAAAATGGCTATTCTATGTTAATTTATTAGCACTTGTACTCTAAATATAGTCCCCTGTCACAAGAACTGTTATTTTAAGTATCAGAGGGGTAGCTGTGTTAGTCTGTATCCACAAAAACTTAATGTTATTTTAAATGCAGTCACTAGGTGGCAATACACCTTGTACTCACATATCCTTTGTAACTGGAATCTAGTTCCGGTCCTGTGGGTGTTTTGCTGCGAATGATATTTTCTGTTTGCTGTATTTGGAAACGACTAGTGTCTAAGGCCTTGTCCAGCTGACGGATGTGTGTTTCCAAGGCACCTGGTTCTCCTGTGGCAAAATTACAAAAGATGTGACTACTGATTTGAGATTTTTCAAAGCCTTTGCTTTATATCCAAGGAAAAACATAAGAATTACTAACCAGGTTAGACAGCATGGAAAAGGTGGCTGCAATAGCATGTGTTGGGGAATGACAAAGCAAATTTGTAACTGATTACGTTAGTGGGTTAGCAACTTTCCAGAGCACAGATGGTTATACTGATGAATACTAATACTTGCCATGAGGACAGTATTAAAGCTTCCATAGGTGCAAATAGGCCTGCAACTTGTTTTGAAGAGACTCTTTCCCCAAAATAATTCTTGATCTCCCTGGAAGACTAAATTCTCAGTGGGCTTTATACCAGCCTCTCACAGTGACATTTTCTGTGACATCGCTCCTTTTCAGACCTGGCAATCACTCAGGACTAAGTTCAATTTTTTTCTCTCACTTCTTTTTGCAGTAGACATTGTGGCATTTCCCCTGAAGCTAATAGAGTGGAATTTTGGTGTACCGTAAGGATTCTATTTCTATACTACTTTTGAACACGAAAAGCAGTATGTAAATACCAAGCAATGCTGTTATAGTTACATCCACCAGCTCCAGCAGGCAATGCTTCTAAAACATGGCAAATTTGTGGTTTCTTCCTAGAGATCAAGTCACTTCTGGAATATGCCTGATCTCCATTGGTTTAGGTAGGAGGAGATGTTCAAAAACAACATTTTTTTTTTTAACAGCTGCAGATGATCCCTTATGAAACCAGCCTCTTCCCAGAGGAAAACCAAGGGTTGGGACCCTGTTATAAGAATCTCTTATTTTGAATCCCTCTGCTACAATACTGGAGTCTGGACAACAAGGAGCCGGTACCGATTTGAGTAAAATACTGATTAGCTACATCTAATTAGCCAGTACTTTAGCTAAAAGGTATTGCACCCTAGCCAGCTTTTTAAAACTCTTTCCACTCCTGCTGGTTGCATGGAAGAAACAAGACCTTTATGACTGGTAGTAAAGCAGGAAAGTTCTGCATTAACATGCTAGTGCTGTCATGTGAGAAAATATCTCTCTTGTGAGCTGTGAGAAGTACAGCAGATGAGCTAAGAGAAGAAGACACTGTTACAGGTCTGGGTTGGGTTATCTGGGTCTGGCTATGCTTAGGCTTTTTTGATGCCTACCAGAGATATTTCTGAGTGCATTTTCAGTAAGTTTTACATAGGCCTCGGGGCTTTCTGGGATCTCTACATCTGCAAAAATACAAGCACAATCTGAGTTGATATCTCAGCAACTGTTGTTTTCTTGTAACAGGAAACCAGCTTTCCCGGAAGGAGAGTAGATCACCAATTCTAATTTCCAGCACATATTCCTTTTGAATAAACAGAGTTAAATTGCATCACAGAATTCCTGTTGAAAATAGCTTTAAGTCAGCCTCTTTTTAGAAGGTGTCAAGGAACTGACAAGCACAAGACAATCACAATTAAAGACAGAACAGAAACTTGAATGTAGGCCTCTCTAACAATAAATGGACCATGTCTACATGCTTCAAACATATAGACACATTAGTCCTCATTAGTATTTGTTACACAATATGCACATAGTCATACAGACAGACAGGTTTCATGAACTCAGAAAAGGCCAAGTCTTGAAGTCTAAGTCAAACTTCCCAAAGATGTCAATGTGAGTCTTGCCTGAGTAAGGACTGAGTAAAAACTCACTTAGACTTTAACATGTGGTCCAGTGGGTGAATGTGTCAGATGTTTCCTTGGAATTTTCTCTCCCTCCCATTTTTCTTGCAATCATCCAGTACCATTTCCTCCAGTCAAAAGACTGTATTAGCCAACCCTGTTATAGGCAACACCAGTCACATCTGGCAGACACAGGGTGCAATAAAATAGCCAGTTCCTTCTTTGTCATTCAGTGAATATGCCTCTGTGATATTCCAAGCCTGCACTCATCCAGAAGCCTGTAATATTGTGTCAAAGACCAGGAGACTAAAGGCACCATTCCAGGACAGCTATTTGAGGTCTTCTGAAGCTCTTTGGAATATTTTCCCATTCCTAGGAACTCCCCAGCAGTATGATCCTATATGCAATATTTATTTCCCTTTATTGAGAGAGAGAGAGAGATGAGAGAAGCAATCAATACCTGCTATACTAGCTGCTCCCCTAAGATAGAAATCTTTGTCTTCTTGTCCTTCCTCCTCCTCTAAGTGCAGTGCCCTCGAAACGGCTGTCTCCAAGTCCCGACTGAGGTCATAGTCATGATCCCATTCCAAGGGGATGGAATCTACACTTGCAGGAGTATCCCGCCCTGACCGCTCACTTCTCATCGGTTGGGCAAGTGACAGTGAGAGGTTGGAGGAGGGGTGTGGGAAGAGAATGCTGTCTGCAGATTTGTCGTGCCAGTGTATGTCAGAGAGATCTGCTGATTCATCCAGATCCACCTCTCGGTCAGAGAGGTCATGTTCATCGTCTGTCAGCTAGAAGGAAACACCAGAACAGAGACTATTAATTCAATCCTTGGAAACAATGTCCTTTCTACCTGGGTCAATGAGATAAAAATGTCACTGGATAACACTGACAGGATTCCCATTTTGTATCTTTCTTTGATCCTCCTTTGATTTTTTTAAAAATGCATATAAAATAAAAAGATAAAATGAGTAAAAGAGGCTAAGAATAAATTCATCTTCACTGCTTAATGCTCATCTGTATAGTCTCATGTAAGGCAACTGTCTCCAAATTTTCTCTAGATATTATCTCTACACAGACAGCAAAATTAGAGCAACATTTTGGAACCAAATTATAGAAACTATAAAAGGCGTTTATCTTGATTGCTGCTCTCATCTATTCTTTCATGTTATGAAAAGCGCTTCTCACTGCTTTCCCTCAGGGTGCTTTCCAGTTTGATTTCCAAAATCACCCTCTCTCACTTCCCAGCTGTACGTTTAGTTCTGGATATTTAAAGTTCCATATGCCCTGCAAGGAAGGAGTGTCTTTATTTCTGTGAACTCAATGCTATTCAATAGAATTCACCCTGCAGGGCAAGAAGAATTTTATGTCTCCATTACTGCATCATAACTCTCATTCATAAAGCTCTGATTTATAATGCATAGGTGTTCATGATGCTTTATAGAAATGAGAGGTTCTTTGCCCTGAAGAGTCTGCAGTCTGAATAAGACAAAACACTACAATATGTGATAACACACAGAGGTGCGGGGGAAGGGAAGGATCAGGGTTACAAGAAGTAAAGATTATGGGGTGTTTTGTCACATACATTACACCCCCCATCACAAACTCTTTCACCATTATTATATTTGTAAATTAATAATAAATCTTAAAAAAAGGAAATAAAGAGGATACATACAGGAAGGCGGATCAATTTCTTGTGGTAGCGTTCCACGCGACCAAAGACCTCTTGACAGTAATGCCGGAGCTCATCCAGTTCTTCTTCAATGACAGCTGCATCTATGGGTTCGCTTTTCTCTATCAGCTGCTCACCCTGGACAATTATCTGATCAATTTTATTGTTGTTCAGGGAGATCTCTTGCTGGAAAGCCTGTGCAGCATAAAAAGCCACGACTTTATGTTATCATTAAAACCAACATTAAGCAATTCTCAGTTACCAAGAATGCTATGTCTTACAGAGCTTTGTAGCAGAGATGGTATATTTACCAATCACAAACAAGGACCATTACACAGAGTAAGCACAATTTGATGGTGCAACTCAGCATTCCCTTGCCATACTCTCCCATATAAGCTAATGAAGTAGCACTTAAAGTTCTACCCAGCAAGTCTCCTGATTTACCGTGCTGTATTTGGGAAGAGGACTGTCCTCTGAACAAGCCACTCCTGTGAGTTTTGAAAGTCTTAGGTAGATAAGGTCGTTAGAATGAATACATATTCTAAAGCTACACTAACACATACTAACAAGTTGTTTTATGTAGTGCCATTTACACTGCAGATGTTCCAGAGCTCTCAGCAAATAATGAGTCACATTGTGGTAGAGCAGAAACCGTGCACAAACAGGGCAGGGCAGTTATGCCCTCAGCCATAACACACATAACCTTGCCATTGGAAATGATTTTATCAAGAGAGGAAAAATCAGAGCACTGAGTTATCCCCTATGCTTTTTTAAAAACCCATCTTTAATTGCCACCCATGCAACCACATGTGGGCATAGCTCTTCTATCTCACTGAACCCTAACACACTCTAATAATCTTGTTCTGTAGTGTCAGTACTGGGGCTGAGCTCATGACCTGGGAATGACATTAAACTGCATCCTCCGCTACCTTGTGGATGTACTTCTTGGTTGAAGAAAGGCTAAGGGATCTCACCCTGATTAGAAAAGGTGCTCACGCTGAAGCCACAGGGCAGTTAGCAACTCTATGTAATTTGCTCTCTGGCGGGAGATATAACCTCTGTCACTGAACGTCCAGACTTTCTCTGACTTTGGATTCTGGCTCAGTGGTCTAAAGGGGGGAGGGTGACATGTCTATGGCAGCCTCTGCTCCTCCATAATTTTGTCTAGGCGTATGCGCTGAAGGTCTTGGCAAGATGGTTGTAGGGATCTGAAAGAGGCATAAGGGCTGTGGAGCAGCTAACAAGATTTCCAAGCAGCACAGTTTAGGGATGGCCTGCTTGCCTCATGTGAGGGTGGCCCTAGAAAAGGTGGGTCAGACAAGCCCTGTCTCATTGTTTACTTTTTTTTTTTTACAAATATAATTGCTGCTTTTACAAATAGAATTGCTTGCTGGAATAGTCGGACTTTGACCCCTGGATACGACTTTGATCTGAATTCGGATTTGAGGAAAATGTTTGTGTTAAGTAACAAGCTTGCATGTTTCAGAATTGATACTGCAGCTTTTTCAGAAACTCAGCTCTCCGACACAGAGTTCAGAAGGGAGAAGAAGGACTACACCATTTACTGGTATGGCAAACCCGAAGCAGTAAGGAGAGAGTGTGGTGTGGGTTTTGCTCTCAGAAATGAATTTATGTCATTGTGTGAAGCTCCGATTGCAGTGTCCATACGTATAGACTAACTTCAAGTTAGTCTACAGAAAGGATTCATCAACCTCATCAGTGTCTACGTGCCAACTCTGCAGGCTAGCAATGAGGAGAAGGATAGCTTTTACCAACAGCTGGAAGAACTGATTGGCAGATTCCACGGAAAGAACCCATCCTAATACTTGGAGACTTCAATGCAAGAGTTGGATCCAATGTTGAGATCTGGCCTCGGATTCTGGGTAGGCATGGCATTGAATGTATGAATGATAAGGGTCAGAGAGTTCTTAAGCTCTATGCCAGGCAAGGCTTATCCATGACCAACACCTTCTTTGCTGGTAACATCAGAAACACCACCTGGTGGAGACACCTGAGGGCCAAGCACTGGCATCAGCTGGAATTGGTACTGATAAGACATACGTATTTGAAAGATATCTTGCATACATGATCCTTCCAAAGTTCAGACTGTGACTCAGAACACTCTCTTGCCTGCTGCAAAGTGAAATTTCAAGCTAAGAGGATGCACCTAAAAAATTGCCATGCAACCTCGTATTGACATGTGCCAAATCAATGATCCTATCAAGAAACGGGCTTTATAAAGAAGTAGCAGCAAAGACAGTCAAAACAAATGAAACTGCTTCAGATGCATGGGAAGCGCTGAAGATAAGTATGTACAATGTGGCCATCAAGAGTTTTGGAAAGAGAACTGAAAAAAATGGTACGTAGACCATTTGGAGATACTGCTGCCACTCACTGACAGGAAAAGATCTGTGCTGATCACTTAGAAGTCTACTTCTACTACTGATTCGTTCAACAATCTAAGAGAAGCTCGTAAGGTTGTTCAAATAGCTTCCAGGATGTGTGCTCAAAAATTTTGGTTGGGTCTCTGTGACAGCATCCAACAGGCAACTGACAGAGGTGACAGTGGACGGTTGTATGAGGGCATTAGAAAAGCCGTTGGGCCAATAAAGAACAAGACAGCTCTGCTGAAAGATCAGGATGGCAATATCATAGCAGATAAAGGAAAGCAATGGATGAGGTGGATTGAGCACTACGGAATGATATACTCAAGGGAGTCTGTAGTAGGCCAATGTGTGCTACACAAATTTCCTGGGTTTGAAGTTTCTGGATGCCAAACCTACACTAGAGGAACCAAAGCACCCAAAAGGTTCCCAACAACAAAGCTTCAGGATCTGTTTCTGCAGAAATCTACAAATGTACAAAGACTTGCTGCGAAGATTGCATGAGGTATTGCTATGCTCTTGGAAGGAAGGAACTGTTCTACAAGATTTTAAGGATGCTCGTTTCAGCCAACTCTCTAAAAACAAAGGAGACAGAAGTGATAGTAATAATCACAGAGGTATCTCTCTTCTTAACATCGTTAAAATAACCTTAAACTATATTATTTTACCTAGACTTCAAACTTTAGCTGAGAGAATCTATCCTCTAAGCCAGTGTGGTTTCCACTAAGGAAGGTCTACCATAGACATGGTCTTCTCCATAAGACAACTGCAGGAAAAGTACAGAGAGAAGCGTATTAAACTGTACATGGCTTTTATAGATTTAACAAAAGCCTCTGAAATGGTTAGTCGGTCAAGGCTTTACATTGTTCTGAAGAAGCTTGCTTGTCCGCCTATATTGCTAAACCTTGTGAAATTCTTACACAATGACATGAAGGCAACTATAATGTATGAAAATCAAGAGTCTGACTCATTTAACATCAACAATGGAGTGAAGCAGGGAGGGCTAAGTACTGGCTCCTATATTGTTTAATATTTACTTCTCATTCCTGCTTCAACATGTGTTCCATGATGTTTGAGAGGGTGTCTATCTTAGCTCTAGACACTATGGAGGTTTGTTTAACATTGCAAGGTTCAGAGCTAAGATGAAGGTGAAGGAGATATCATAAGGGACCTGTTGTTTGCAGATGATGCAGCCCTTGTGGCTCACAGTGTTGATGCCCTAAAACATCTTACTACCAAGTTCTCTGATTCATGCAAAATCATTGGGCTATCAATAAGCTTGAATAAGACTGATCATGCACCAAGGCTCTTCAGAACCAGTTCCAGATATTACCTTATTCATATGGATGCTGTTAACCAATTTTGCCACCTTGGCTCTACTGTTACCAGCAATGTAGATCTGGATGCTGAGCTCACTAGTAAAATCGGCAAAGCAGCTAGGAACCTTGGTCTTTTGCAAGATAGAGTCTGGAACAATAACAAATTGTCAACTAAAGTGAAAATCCATATTTATGAGATATGTGTTTTATTCATCCTTCTATCTGGCTCAGATACATGGACAACTTATGCCAAACATATCAAAAGAATAAACAGCTTTCATATTAGATGCTTGCATAAAATTCTTCTAAGAAGATGGCAAGACAGGTGACACATGTGGAAGTGTTAAATCGTGCTGGTATGTCATTAATGGGAACCTTGATTAGTAAGAAAAGACTCAAGTGGCTTAGACATGCCAAGCAGATGCCGGATTACAGGATCCCAAAGAGTGTGCTGTACTCTGACGCTTGCGAAGGGTCTAGAAAGAGATGTAGACTGCTGTGCAGATTTCAGGATGCTTACAAAGATGATGTAGTATCCTTTGGAATCTCCATGGATGATTGGAAAAGGAGTGCAGAATGCCGCTCTGGCTGGCGGAGACAGCTTGTAGGTGGAAAGAGGCGTTGCGAGGTGGACTGGATCAAGCTTTGTAATGACTGGCATCAGAGGAGGAAAGAATCTGTTGCTCAGATTCAGAGCATTGCTAGTGCATGGGTGTGCCCGACCTATGCACAGGACTGTCACTAGCGCATTGGACTCAGCAGCCATTAAAGAACTCATCAGCACATACAACATGCTCTATAAAGATCGACGGTTCCATTGATTGACTGGGGCTGAGCCTATGTCCTGGGAATAAAGGGTTTTAATCACATAACACTATTCATGGAACATTTCTTACACTTTCAGTTCCTATTTGGATATTTTTGATGCCACAGACTGGCTGGCCTCCCGTACCTTGAGTTGCTTTATCTTTGCTTGGACGTCGCACTCTGAGAAATGTTCAATATTGGTCAACTGCAGATCCATCTCTGTTAGCCAGACCAGAATGTTGTCACGTGATGTCTCAAACTCCTCGCGCTGGCCAATAAAATGCTGAAAAAACAACCGAAACAATGTGAGGCTTCCACAAAAGTTAGTTTTCACTTCACTATCTTCTGAGTCTGACTGAAATCAGTACATGTTCTTCACTGATCTCCTCTATGCTCTTTCAGGTTCCCACTTCAGTACCATTGTGCCTCTAGCAGTGAAGAGCAGAGTTACAAAAGTTCAGCTGCAAGTATTCTTGTTCTTCTCTTCTAAGGGGAAGTAGGGCACCCAGGTCCAACTCTACATCTTCCTGCAGTGTATTACTTAACTACTTTAGATAGAGCATTCATGAAATCATCAAAATAAAGTTTAAATAACCCAGCCAAAGAGAAAACTTGCATGGGCTTGAGGAGTCAGAAGCTCACAATATCCTTCATGCATACAGTCTAGTTCTGTAAAAGAATGGCTTGAAAATGGAGAAATACTTTTAGCCTGCGCAGGATAGAAGTGACTCGCTTTTGTAAGTTGTCCCATCTCTGGTTCCCTTCATGGACCATCTGTTTGAGGCTGCAAGCAGAGTCAGTGCGGTTTTCTCGGGCTAGGCGGCGGTACTGTTTATTAATCAGTTCCAGCTGTGTCAGACTTTCATGCACTTGTCTTTGGAAGGCCTAAAATAACAATGGAAACAACAAAAGACACTATCAGACTGTCAGCCCCTGAAATTGGTAAATGGTCTCAGATTGTTCTTGTCTTTGGCTCCAATCCTGAAATTGGATCTGTACCAACATGGGTGCAAACATTTGCTGGTACTGACCTGATTGTAGGATTGGGGCCTTTTGATTGGGATGAGCAAAGAGAAATGTTGTTGTTTACAAAATCAATAAATGGCAGTAAGGACCAAGCATTTCAGTGAGAATGCTCCTGTCACAATGACAGCAGCAAGCACAGTTTTATTCCAAGAATGAGGTACTGTCCTTTCTTGGCTGTCCAATATTTCACCTGCATATTTTAGAATATGGAGGGTGTAAATTCTGAAATCAATTAAAAGTTTCTGAAAATGTTACATTAGAGGGCTGGACTTGATATTGACTAATTAAATTTCAGTGGGTTACAAACAAACAAGCACTGTAAATGGTGATGTCAAATTTTTAAAGACATCGAAGCAAAAATTTTATAAGATTTCTCAAGTCTCAATTAATCTATTTAGCACTACCTCTTGGCAGATGCTGAGAGGTCTTCATATGAATAATAATTGTGAATTTGCTTTGACAGTATTCCAAGCACCTTTTATTTATCTTTAATATGACAGGTATGAGAGCCATTTTTATTTCCACAGTCACAGAGAAAGAAAGTTTTGTGAATATTTATACAACTCTGTATTTGAGCAAATGGCCAGGCCACATGTGACTTATTCAAATCCTACTGGTTACCTATCAGCTCTGTGTTCTTGGGGAACCAGGGTGCAGTACCCAGGCTGTCTGACTCACCAAAGACCTCCCCCCCACCCTCTGCTTGAACCAAAGCCGATCAGAAGAAAGACTTACAGAAAGCAATGAAAAGGCACTGGGAGACACACCTAAACCCCCTCTGGACAAGGGTGACAGGATTAAGGAAACTCCCTTGCCTCATTTGCATCAAGGATGGGACAGGGAGGCATCCCCATTAGCATACAGAATGGAGAACAGAGACTCAAAGGCAAGAACTGCACTGAACTCTGGGGGACCTCTGCTCCAGATGTTAATGAACCTATGCCTGCATGCACCCAGCTCAGTAGTTATCAGACCAATTCTAGTAATAAATCCTTTATTGGTATCCAAAATACAGAAGCTGCCTAATTGCATTGTGAGCGCCCTCGAAGGAACACCGCCCATAGCCAGGAATGAGCAGTTCTTATTGTCTAGCCCAGGGGTTCTCAAACCGGGGGTCGGGACCCCTCAGGGGGTCGCAAGCTGTCAGCTTCCACCCCAAAACCTGCTTTGCCTCCAGCATTTATAATGGTGTTAAATATATAAACAAGTGTTTTTAATGTATAAGGGGGGTGGCACTCAGAGGCTTGCTATGTGAAAGGGGTCACCAGTACAAAAGTTTGAGAACCACTGGGCTAGCCTGAACAAAAAAATTTGGTAAATCTAGTGTTCTCCCTTCAACCACTGTTCTTTCCCTACAAAAACTCCTACCCATGTTCAAGTAAGTGCTCCGATGCCTGTATCCAACATCTGCATCAGTTCCATTGGGACCTCATCTTCTCCTGACTGATCGTGCTGGGGGCTCTGCCTGCCTCCAGAACTCTGGACCCTCAGCTACCACCAACTTGGGACCCCAGATCGATTCAAGCTTCACGGCGTGATGAGATCCCAGCTCTCTCTCGTTCTCTCTCTCTAGGTATAACCTTCTGACCCTGACTTGTGTGATCAGTTATAGTTTTCTAAACCTGACTTTTATAATCAAATTTAAGTTAGATTTAATATTATTACTGTTTTGTTTGTTTGGCTCCCCTTGTATGGTTATTACCTGGCAATAAATAACTTTCATGGTTAAGCTGGTTGCTTCTCTCTCTCTCCCCCCCGCCGCTAGGGGGTGTTTTTTGGCTTCTCCATTTGCTCTGCAGCAACGCTCCTCGTACCTAAGCTAAAGATCCCTGCAGCACCCAAAAAATCCTGTGGAATTTGCTCATTGAGTGGGTGACTACCAGAACAATTGTAACGTGAAAGTGGGGATAGGGATGTGCTAAACCTGGGGCATGTGAGGGTGGCAGCTTGGAAGTGCTGCTCGACCCAGACTGCTGCGTCCAGGGGCATATAAGGGTGGCAGACTGAAAGTGCTGCTAGACCCAGCATGCTCAGGCATGCTCTATTTCAATGCAGTGCCCATGGCATATGAAGGTGACAGCTTGGAGGTGCTATTCGACCCAGCCTGCTGAGTCCAAGGGCCTATGAGGGTGACAGCTTGGAAATGCTGCTTGACCCAGCCTCCTGAGTCCAGGGACATATAAGGGGTCAGCTTGGGAGTGCTGATTAACCCAGTCCTCTCAGATGCGCTCTGTTAATGTGTGTGTGTGTTCGCCTGATTCTGGGGCTGGAAGAACCCGGCCCTGCAGGATAGCTCCATTGTGGGGGAACTTGCAGAAGGGAGAAGTAGAGCTTCAAGAACACAAGTGACACAAACAGTACATTGATAGAATTACAGACCCCCCCCCCACACACAGAGGAGTAACCCTAATAAATGAGCATACCCCAAAGTAATGGGCAAATCTGGTAACATTCTCCAGGTTATAAAAGTTTCAGTCAACCAATTCGGGAACAGAAACAGTACCATGTGACTTGGATGATCAATCACACTGTATGAATAGCAAATACTCAAAAAGCAAGTCATAGCAAGAACCTGGTGAGCACTTTGTAGGCTTGAATTTGATCACAAATTTATTGTTGAATTTCTCAAAAGCAAAGTTTGTTTTGCTGATAGCTCATGAACAGAGAAAAGGGCTAAATGTGTTGAATATTTCACTCAGTTCTATTTGGGACACATGCAAGTTAAAGGAAATGATAAAGAAGTGAATTGGCTTTGGTTCCAGATCACAGTTGTGCAAGTTTGCATTTTCTAGCATTAGGTAGCCAAAAAAGTGACAATGAGGATAGGAAGAGGGAGAGAAATGATAGCACTGGAAAACAAATATGCTAGTGGACCCGAATACAAATTCATTAACAGCATCAGCTATGTTGATGCATATTGCCTCAATCCTACCACTTGCCAGAATGAGTGTTAATTAAAAATGAAAATAAGCACTTTTGTGCAATGAAGTCACAGGGATAGCTAAAGGAGCTAGTTAGAAACAACCAAATACACCAAAGGGTCCTTGTCACGATAATTACTCTCTTTGTTTAAATGCCAATGAAATAAGAAAGCAACCAACATGCAGTTCTGTAATTGGAGTGAGAAGCACATTCTCTCATGGAAGAGGCATACATCTGACCACTGATTTACTACTAACTCAAAAGATTTAACCTTGTAATCTACAACTCAGTGTAAATTTACAATGCCACCTCACCTGTTACCAAGTCTTGTTTAGCAAAAGAACAATTATATATGTTTTCCAATGTTCAGTTCAGCAATGCAGTAATTCATTTGCTCATGTTCCTCTTTGCATTACAGCTTCAGTGAAATACTGGACTACCGTGTGATTTTGTACAATGGAGTTCATGACATACTGGATGACTGAAGCCTTCTAATGTGCTTTGCTAACGTTCTTAAAGGTTTTATCTTATTGGTGGGATGGATAGGAGAATAAAATTAGGAAAAAAATAGTTACAGTCTGAAGGAACTCAATTTTCTACCCCTGATCATGGCTGCCCCCAAGTGAACACTAATTTTGGACTTACATCCCTACTTTGAGACGATAGTAGCTGTATGTACATGTAGATGTACCAATTTAAACAGGAGTACTAGACTAAAAACTATTCTCCTTGTCTGTAGTCTAAGCTCCATATGTCTGTGTGAGAGTACTGTGGTATGTGTTGGAAGGTAAAGGTCAGTGTATAAAGGTTGACACAGTGAGAGAGCATAGACAGAGAAACCGGCTTAGGGCAAAGTCAGGTCAGCTGTGATCATAGGAGACAGCTGAGAGATGCATGGTAGTCTCTCATTTACAGTAACTCACTAAACATGATTTAGACTCTGGTCACTGAATGGAGGGAGGATGGAACGAATGGACAGGACTGCAAACAGAATACTGATTTTCCAGATAAATTTCAACATTTACATGATTATTATTTGGTAGCCTTTGGCTTCACTATATTTAAGAGGTCGGTCAGTGGTTCAGTAATGACCATAGCTTCCAGAGGTTTGTACACAGGTAATAAAAACTGAGCCTGGCTGAAGCATTCCAAAGCCTAAGCCCAAAGAGTTTATTTTCTTGTGATCACAATTAGGAAAGAAAACTGAAACTAACTCACCTGAACGGCCCCCAAAGAGTTCCATTTATTTGCACACCACACATACATTAGTCACAAACACCAATCAGTTACATAACTATAACATGGCTAAGCCCCGGGCAAGGCCCCACCCCTGCAAACACATAGGCACATGCTTAACGTTTAGCTTGTGTGTGTCTGAGTGATATCAAAGGGAATACTCACACACGTAAAGTTACTTGCGAGTGAAAGTGTTTGCAGGATCAGGATCTAAGGTGGGAATGTGGTAACACTTTGCAAATATCTGAAGAGTGTAAATATGAAAAAGGAGAGGAGTTATTTAAGGGGTACAATACCAGAAATTACAGCCAGGAGCAATGGGATGAACTATAGGAAAAGAAAATATTTAGGGTGTATATAGTCTTCAAAGAGAAATGGTAGAAGGATTTGGGACATTTAAAAATTACAGTGGACAGACCCATGGACGATGCACAGTAAGGAACAATCCTGAATTGATAGGGTTAGAGACTGGATGACCTAGTATGTCTTTTCCTATATCTATATCTCTATATCCATATATCTATAGCCTCTAATTTTTTTCTTAAAAAATGCTACTGGGGACAGCTGCAAAATCATCAACTCTTCTGTATCGTGTGTCTGTATTGAGCAGCTTATGTACTGAAAGGAGAACCAGCTGGCTGCTGTAATAGGATCTGGAGATATTAAATTTCAAACATAATAAGTTACCTCAAATTTCTTTAGCTCTTCCTTGGCAACCGTATACACCACACCAGAGGAGCTAGGAAAGGCAGCTGTCCTCTCTGAAATTTTCAGCCAGTCTTCGAAGCGAGAATAGTCATCTAAGAACTTTTGCCACAGTCGCCACGTCTCTTCAATTCTGCGACAGAAAATGGAAAATTAGGGTACGTTTAGATTTGAGGTCATTTGCCCTGCATTGCTCTGCCTGATCATAAGCTACAATAGGGAACCAGGGCTGCACTGAACAATAACTGGCTCTTAACCAAGCCTTGATTGCAAGGTTGATAAATGGACAACATAAATGGCTGGTTGATTCCAGTTTAAGCTGGAATAAGACAGCAACGTTTTTTTGTGTGTGCTGCAAATCCTCATTTACAATTGGTATATAAAGAACATTATGAGCTGTAATAGGAGTTCTAAAAATGTGGCCATTTGCCAAAATGTAGTCCTATGTATACAAACTACAATTAGCGGAATGTTTTAGAGCAGTGGTTCTCAAACTGGGGTCTACGGATCCCTGGGGGTCCACAAGGGTATTCCATGGGGTCCACGAGTCATGTCCGGCTCCAGGGGGGTCCGAGAGTCATGTCCAGGGCTGCCAGCCCCACTGATCAACTCCTCCCTCCTAGTGCCTCCTGCATGCTGCGGAACAGATGTTCAGCAGTATACAGGAGGTGCTGGGAGGGCGGGGGAGGAGCGGGGATGGGGCATGCTTTGGGGAGGGAAGAGGAGGGGCAGGGGTGGGGTATTGGGGGAAGGTGTGGAGTGGTGGCAGGGCCTGGGGCTGAGCGGGAGTTGAGCACCCCTGGGGAAAATTAGAAGCCAACTTGGGGGTCCACAAAATTTTTTAAATCAAAATAGGGGTCCTTGGGTTGTTACAGTCTGAGAACCGCTGTTCTAAAGACAACATTCAACTGTAGAATCAAACCATTCCTATAGGAAACCAAAATGTTGCAGCATGAATTGTTAAATTTTCCAGGGTAACTCAGCCAGGAGGAGGTAGTGTATTGGTGCTAGTTAAAAACAAACATTAAAATGACCACGTATATCTGGCATAAATTACTTTGAATTAACATAAGGATGTGGTGACATTCTTTTGCATTCATCAGTAAAAAATCAGTTTCAAGAATATCCACTGCAAATACGTTTTTGTAACAATGTATTTTTAAAACATGAAATAAGTCACTGAAAAAAACATTTCAGCTGATGAAAAAACAATGTTGTTATAAATTATACATGTAGTAGAAATGTAATTTGAGTCCTGATCCTGCAATTCAATGGACAGACTTTTGGGACTGTACATAACCCCAGTGACATCAATCTGGTTCCACACAAGTGCAGAGTCCTGCTTGTGCAGATCTCCTTGCCAGAGCTGGGACTTGGTCTACTTTTTAAATACGGAGAATATTTTCCCAGGTAAGTGAATATCTGAGAAATAGCAACTTTTTTTTCCAGATAGAAACATCTGGAGAATCTCTTGGGTTTTATGAGTATTTTGTACTTACTTAAGTCGTCTTTCCATTGACATTGCACAGATGTTTCTCCATCTTCTGTCCAGGTTCCGGGTGGCCTGCTGGATGGAGTCGCACTCTGTTTCTGTGGCACAAGCATCGCAGTCGTGGAGCAGCACCTCACACAGGTTGAGAACAGATGCAACTCCAGTGCTGTGTTTCTCTATGTCCCTTTGGAGTTCCTGCAGGTCAAGAAATCAAAGCTTAAATATGTAAGCCAAACCATGTGCTCTTTGAAAATATGCTATTTAATATGCTATTAAAATAATATAAAATAAAAAGTCGGGCAAGCTCACAAGAATCAGGATGAATGAGTATTAAAATGCCCAACCTACATGGCATTGCTGCAATGTTACTAATAAACAAGTAGGGTTAGTAGAGGCCGGCGATAGTACGGAGCTATCCAGTACTTGAGAAAACCTGCAGATAGAGGACAGATCCTCAGCTGGTGTAACCTGTCATAGCTTCACAACAGCCAATGAAAGTTTTGTCTCATCAGCATTTCTCACCACTGCCATATTACGATGGAACTGTTTGCTTTTCCCGTTTTCTTTTCCCCCTTCCTCCCTCCTCCCCTCCAGAAACATAAAACAGAAGTTCAAAAGAGAAAAAAAGTGACAGCCAACAGGGACAGAAGTAGACAAAGCAGGGACTACTGAACTGGGGGTGAGAGACTCCGACACACACTGGGGGCTCTAGGATCCAGATGTGCCTCACCACATGTGCCCCTCGCCACATGGGCTTGGGAGAAAACTGCAGAGAGGAGCCAGCCAGATACTCCAGCTGGTAGGAGCAGAAGCAGCCAACACAAGGACCTTCGGACCTTCAGACCTTCAGAGAACCTACTACAGTTTTGACTGGATTTTCTCTGCCCGGTGCTGATTGGTGTTTGCTCCAAACCTACCCCGCCGGTACAGTCTCTTCACCTCAGTGTCACTCCACACCTGTCCCCCATCCCTCTCACCCTCTTTTCCTTTTCCTTCCATTTAGCTGAGCCCCTTGTTGAAACTAACAAGCCATTTGTCACCATCACATTGTTCCCTCTGCTTATGTGTTCTACCCCTTCCCCCACCCTGCGTCTGTCTTGGCTGTTTAGACTGTAAGCTCTGCTGGGCAGGGACCACCTATTGTACTGTGTTTCTTGGGTGCCTAACAACAGTGGGGCTAAGATTTTATGGGATCTCTCAATTGTGCCAGCCCGAATGGTGCAGGCAAATAGGCCGGACATAGCAGCTGTAGAAAACATGATAGACAAGACCATGTTAATTGATATTGCCATACCAGCAGATAATCATCTTCTCTTCTTCCTTTTTTATATGCCTAAGTATAAAGAACTCTATCATGAAGAACAGAAAACAGAACAAAGATGATTACTGGAGCACTTGGGGCAACCTCTAAGGGTACGAATGAGCAGCTCAGGAGCATGTTAGGTGTGCAAGACATCATGATCAGTGACCTCCAGAAGACAGTGTTCTTAGGCCCCGTGAGAATTTTAAAGAAAGTCAAACGTGAATCAGTGCATTTGAGCACCTAAAATGCTGGAGTTCTGCGAAGGGCTTAACAAAAGTACTGACTACCCAAACTTACAGAGTCAGTTCGTGGTCAGGATTCATTGGTGACTCATGGGGATACATTTTAGACAGTAGCTTTCCCCTTAAGTATCTTTTATGTTGTGAAGGCTATTTCTTAAAAAAACCACATACCTATGATGTCATACTGAGGGATGATAATAATAATGGCAAGAAAAATAAATAAGTTTCACTGTACTGTGGGTATTCATTCTGCTATACCGTGTTCCCTTCTACTCGATTCTTCGCTAAGTCACGAGTGTGTCTCTTGACACGTTCTGCATGTGGGGCAGCAATAGCGCGTCTATAGCAGTACATCTTTAATATGAAATGTTGTTGTTTTCCTCTCAGCTGTCCAATGATAACATTATTTTTAATTGGGGATGGCAGGGGAAAATAGGGGAGAAAAGTGACTTTCCACAGAAGTTTCATAGACATGGAAAGAAAAACGCAGTCCTTCTAGTGTCAGCACATTTACAGCAATTACACTCTAACTAATCTCTGTCCATCTCATTGTAATAAATTAAGAGGAGGGGATAGGAATTTAAAAAATTTATCCTGAAATTGGTTAGCTTTCCAACTCTACACATCTATAGTAAAATCCACAACAAAAAATGATGAAGACACTAGAGACATGTGGACAACGTGAGTAAGGAATCATAGACTTTAAGGTCAGAAGGGACCATTATGATCATCTAGTCTGACCTCCTGCACAATGCAGGCCACAGAATCTCACCCACCCACTCCTGTAACAAACCTCTAAACTATGCCTGAGTTATTGAAGTCCTCAAATCGTGGTTTAAAGACCTCAAGGTGCAGAGAATCCTCCAGCAAGTGACCTGTGCCCCACACTGCAGAGGAAGGCGTAAAACTTCCAGGGCCTCTGCCAATCTGCCCTGGAGGAAAATTCCTTCCTGACCCCAAATATGGCGATCAGTTAAACCCTGAGCATGTGGGCAAGACTCACCAGCCAGCACCCAGGAAAGAATTCTCTGTAGTGACTCAGATCCCACCCCATCTAACATCCCATCACAGACCATTGGGCATATTTACCTGCTAATAATCAAAGAAGGATTGTGAAAGATAGATCCTGTCAAACTATTTTTTTTTAAATGAGATTACAAGTTTGGTTGATAAAGGTAATAGTGCTTTGATTTGGAACCATATGACATTTTGATTAAAAAAAGCTAGAACTATATCAAATTAACATTCTACAGATTCAATGGATTAAAAACTGGCTAAATGATAGATCTCACAATATAGGTGTAAATGAGGAATCACTATCAAGTGAATGTATTTCTACTGGTGTCCTACAGGGATTGGTTCTTGACCCTACATTATCTAACATTTTTATCAACGACCTAGAAGAAAACACAAAATCAGCATTGATCAAGTTTGCATATATGACATAAAAATTAGAGGGATAGTAAATAATGAAGAGGACAAGTCACTGATACAGAGCAATCTAGATTGCTTGGTGAACTGGGCACAAGCAAACAATGTGCCTTTTAATATGGCTAAATGTAAATGTATACATCTAGGAACAAAGAACATAGGCCATACTTACACAATGGGGGACTCTATCCTGGGAAGTCATGACTCTGAAAATGATTTGGGGGTTGGAGCGGATAATCAGCTGAACAAGAGTTCTCAGTGCAATGCTGTGGCGAAAAGGGCTACTGTACTGTGATCTCTGGATGCATAAACTGGGGAATCCTAAGTAGCAGCAGAGAGGTTATTTTACCTCTGGATGTGGCACTGGTGTGACTGCTGCTGGAATACTGTGTCCAGTTCTGGTGTCCATAATTCACAAAGAATGTTGATAAGGTTCAGAGAAGAGTCACAAGAATGATTAAAGGATTAGAAAATACGCCTTAGAGTGATAAACAAAATAGATTGAGCTCCTTGAGTCTAACAAAAAGAAGGTTAAGGGATGACTTGACAACAGTTTATAGGTACCTACATGGGGCACAAATATTTGATAATGGGCTCTTCAATCTAGTAGACAAATATATATATACGATCCAATAGCTAGAAGTTAAAGCTAGACAAATTCAGACTGGAAATAAGGTGTACATTTTTAAGAGTGAGGGTATCCACTAGAACAATTTACCAAGGATCATGTTGGAGTCTCCATCACAGGCAATTTTAAAATCAAGATTGGCAAGGTCCCAGCATTCTGCAACACTGTTACAGCAAACTGGAAATTCTTTGGCAGCTTTATTTTAAAAATGGATCTTTTTAGTGAAAATGAATGTCAGAGTCAATTCAATAGCACGTGTACTATTTATTTGAATATTACATTTCCCAGAGAGCCTGCAGTGAGGATAGCCACATTTACTGGGTGCTTTTCCTATGATGATCATCAGTAAAACTGTTAACAATGTTGACTTTTTAATTGTCATCTTTAGGTTTCAGCTTTCATACCCTATTCAGACCACACCTCTCAGAGTCATTGTTTCAGGACGCTTGTAGGCTCAAGAAAAGAAAGATGCATTGGTTGCAGTAAGCCACATTTTCAAGGTTTTCTCTGCAACTCTAGGGGCTAAAAGCCTATTTAAAAAAACCAAACTGAAAACTGATATTTTTTAGTACAATTCCACACGATGGTATAGATTCTGCAGTAAATTTTGTGGCCTTGGAATTATAGATTACATGGGGACCAGCCAATACAGAACCAACCATTTGCACAAGTTTGGTTAAATGAACATAGATCTTGCCTCCTTCCTTGCGACTTCCTCAGCTGCATTATTCATCTGCACATAGCATAACCTCAGAATCACCTTTCTGAAATGGAACTCAAACATGAGTCAGTTGTTGCCATGAATTTAGTGAATGCTTTTGCTGAAAAATCAATCCACAAATGAACACTTCAGTGTTTTTAAAGTCCAGTCTGCATCCATAAATGATTTACTGTACATTTGCTTTTACTTCTATTGCTTTTACTTTCACAAAGGTTAGTTGCTAATCTGCCCCTAGCACCAGCAATCCACACTATTGCAGCTCATATATTTCCTAACAGTGTTTTAACTCTTGGGAGTACTCCCAAGGACATGCATGGTACAGGACAACTATGAACGCCATCTGCAGCATCCTCAAGGATTACATTGCTCAGGTGTGATCCTCTTTATTACTAATCTCCACTTCTTGGTTTTCATGACCTTTTTCCACTGGAACTGATGTTCCATCTTGAAATGTCATTTCAACATATTTGTCTTCAGCACATTACTAGTGTTTGTGAGACAGACTTTGAAAATGATCTGCTATTATTCCTGGATATAAGAAAAATTCCTGCCTAATTGCTGACTACATTTGGATTGAACCTCATGATTCAAATGGCTGGTTAAAGATGGAGAGTAATACTACCTGCAAGGAAACAGGAGGGAGGTTTCTGCAACACCTTGCCATGTTTCACACTTGTTGTGGCCTGATTAACAAAAAAGGAAAAAAGGTCTTTGAAATCTGACTAGTTTTCCAGGGTTGGCAGATTGCAGTGAGGTTACACTCACTCTCCTTCAGGTCATACTGCTTTAACTGCCCCAGAGAGCAACTGCAAAGTTATTATGTGTGTTCCCCTCCAACTCAGACTTGGCTGATGAGCCAGTAGAAGTAGAGTGTGGGAGCCACAGAACTGGGATCCAGCCCTACTTTCTGGCAGGCAATGCTACATTTTTAATTAAATTTGAGATGTGTAGTTGAGTGATAGTTTGTGACAGTGTGGGCGGAGAGATAACATGTCCCTAAGAGAAAACAAATGTGGAAAAATATACAGATCAAACAGAAAGAAAAACTAGTGCTGACATAGCTGGCTGAAAAGGTAGCTGAGGTAACTTGTGTTGTGAAAACCAAATGAATATTACTAGTAACAGCTATAATAAAAATGCTTTCTTCTTTATGTTAAAAGTTCATGTTTTCTTTGCTGTTAGTGTTATAACAAATTAATTGGCAGGGAGCTGCCAAACGTACTATGCTTACAAGGCAAAATACACTTCCAGTGTTTGTCCCCTTTGGAGTTCCAATGGAACCACTGGTACTTCAAAATGAACACTGCCACCATCCAGCATTGCACAGAAACAACAACGCAGAACTGCAGAGAATAAAGAGTTCAACTGATGTCTGTACCCAGAATGAATGCAGTAGTAAAGGAGTCATAACAAACCTTGGGATGCCCATGTAGGTACACTCCCAGAAAATCTCTAAACATTTGCTTTAACATTAATACTTAGCACTGTACAGCACTTTACATCTTCAAAGCTCCGCACAGTATTAGCTACTCTTCATATCTGTCCTGTTTGTATTATTCACCCCATGTTACAGATAGTGAAATGCACAAAGAGGTTAAAAAGCTTTTTCCCATAGCCACACAGTATGTCAGTTGAGGAGCTAGGATTAAAATTGAGGATATTCTTAGTTTTTGGACTTTCACTCTATTCACTGCACCACATTGTCATTCTACATGCTTTATAAATCAATTGTCTGCAAAATGTTACAGTACTTTTCTCCACACAAAAAATTAAACTTCTCTACTTTATTGTGTATTAAGGAGAGGTGTTATTTTGCTTTTCACACGCTCATCACAAACTGCACTGATATCAGTCAGCGACCAATCTGCCAAGAAATAACTGACGAGAAAGCAATCTGCTACATGACAGGCAACAGAATTTCTGCCCAGTGTGTCAAACAGAACTGGCATAGAGTAACAAAAATATGTACAGAAACATGTATTTCTTTACTTTGCAAAACTGATGTTACTCTTTCCTAAGTTGTGATGGAGGTGCATAGTTTAGCAGGAAAGGGGAAAGGAAGTATACTAACAGTGTAGTACAATGTAAAAAACTACTACTACCAAAAAAACCCAAAAAAACAAACAAACAAAAATTATCTGCCTCATCCCACTTTTCCCATTTGCAGCATGAACTGCTTCATTCCAGCACTGTGTGCAGGCTTTGCATAGTGCAAATCAGTTTAAAGTTAAACATCAGTTTTGTATCGCTCATGCAACTCAGCATGCAAAGGGACTCAAACATGTTTATGAACTGCAAAACAAAACAAAAATCAGAAGGCATTTCCAAAGATGGACAATGTCCAGCACTTATAAAACTTGCAAGCGAACACTATAGTATGGTTTTATTTTAATTCTGGAAATGGACAGTAGTTCATTATATACTAAAAAAAAAAACAAAGAAAAAACCTCAACCACAACAGTAACCCACATTCTGGACATAACATCATGGTACCTTACCTCTGTCTGGCAGGATCAAACAGCTCCTTGTAGATTCAGTGTCAAAGCCAGCAGAAGACTCTACCAGAGTGATGCAATAAGCACTATCTGCCTTGAAATCTAAGGGCATCTTCTCTGCATCAGTGCCTTCTTTCAACACTGAGCTGGATACCGGCAGCCCAAGGGTATACTTTACTTGGGTCTCCCCACACCATAGTGCAACTGCCAGTGTGGTGACTGTGTCAGGTTTTTTACTCTTCTACCTCATTTTGTATTTTACCTGCTGCTCATTCAGCTTCCTTTGTATCTCCTCGGAATCACAGGTTTCGTAGACAATGGGTTTGGACAGCTCTGACTCAATGTGAGCGAGCCAGGATCTCAAGCTGTTCATGTTCTTATCCAGCTGCTGCACAGCAACCAGGGTCTCCTTCAACTTCTTCACCCTGCCAAAAAGAGAAACAAGAGCACATGCACATCATTAAACAGCCTTTATAAGACATCACTTCTGTATAATTTTCACTGGGAAAGAAATTCAACTTAACTTCACACTCAAACAACAGAATTGCTAATCTAGGGCTTCCCCTTACTACTTACAGCACTACAAGCATATAAATAGTGTCCAAACCCAGTAATTCTAATTAACAGAAATTCAGGATTTTCAGAAGCCACACACAGAGATTTTATAGGCTTCTGTATCTCTGCCGGTGGAATCAAAGCTTGCTTTGGGGAAAGAAACCGTATTTTAATATGGTCAGTGTAAAAAAATCCATCTAAATTAGTTGTGCCTTTTGTTTCACTAATGTAGACACCTGGTCAGATTACAAGTAAATAGCTATTGCAATTAACAAAAGGAAATTGACCTGCATTGGTGTTGAACATCTAAATAAGACTTATTCACCTATAAGTTCTAAAGACTGAACTCTCTTGCCCTTAGAGATAGTGAGCTTGGTCCTTAGCTGGAGCAGAGCTCAGTACACTAACCCAGACCTCCTGGGGGTACACAGAGGTCTTCCAGGTGGTACATCAACTCAACTAGTTTTACAACAGACTATATAAAAAGCACTAGCAAAATCAGTGCAAACTAAAATTTCATACAATGAAATATTTATACTGCTCTATATACTATACACTGAAATGTAAGTACAATATTTATATTCCAATCGATGTATTTTATAACTATATGGTAAAAATGAGAAAGTAAGCAATTTCTCAGTATTAGTGTGCTGTGACACTTTTGTATTTTTATGTCTGATTTTGTAAACAAGTAGTTTTTAAGTGAGGTGAAACTTGGGGTATACAAGATAAATCAGACTCCTGAAAGGGGTACAGTAGTCTGGAAAGGTTGAGAGCCACTGCACTAACCCACTCTTCTACCTTCCCCAATCTTAAGGGCTACTCTAACTTGCACTGGATTTTAATAGTTACTTCAGATTTACACTGGTATGTAACTGAGAGCAGAATCTGCCCCCACAATGATTTCTTGGTTGTAACAGGACTGGTAACCTTGCTATGCAACAATAATCACCAAGGACACCAATCATCTTTCTTTTCAAGAGAACATTAGATAGGAGAATGAGAGAGACCTAACCACATTCCATAAGTATTTATGGTTAGATGTTAACCATTAGAACAATTTACCAAAGGTCATGGTGGATTCTCCATCACTGAGAATTTTAAAAGCAAGGTTACAGGTTTTTCTAAAAGATCTGCCTAGGAATTGTTTTGGCAAAGTTCTATGGCCTGTGCTATACAGGAGGTCAGACTAAATGATCACAATGGTCCATTTTGGCCTTGGAATTTATGGATAGTCCTTTTGGTCTCCACAAATATCAGGGTTGTGCTGTTAGCGTTAAAAATCCCAAAGAGAGTGTGTGAGAGGCAGAGTCATAGTCCTATCCCTACTAGTGTACTACTTTGTGGAGTGGAACTGGCATAGGGACAGTATATGCTTCACTCTGTTTAGAGCAGTGGTTTTCAACCTGTGGTCTGTGGACCCCTGGGGGTCTGCAAACTGTGTAGGATTTCCAAAGGGGTCTGGCACCTCCATTTGAAATTTCTTAGGGGTCTGCAAATGAACAAAGGTTGAAAACCACTGGTTTAGCGGGCTCAGCAGTAACTGCTGCTATGTATTCTCCTGGAATTATAGGGCCTGCTTCAGACACAATGCCTCCAAGCAGGGGCTTCTGGGGAACTGCGATTCCACCACTCACAGCAGAGCATGTAATAAGCGTGCACCACACAGAGCTATTTTCAGGACTTCAGCTTATATGATTCCTCCAAAAAAATCAGATCATAGTATCTTTGAAATTTGGGCAAGTTTGAATGCAAACTTTGTGGCTTAGGTCCATCTCTCTAGTCTTTAGGAGGTTAAAAGCAAATCATTACAGAGCTGTCATTCTGTTCTGTGTTTGTGCCTGGCACAATGGGATTTTGATCCATGTGTAGGGCTCTAAGAGGCTTTTTAATTATTCATCAAATGTGTAACTCTCTTAAATAACTTCAATATGTGCCTTTAATTACACTGAAAACATATCTGCATGCTTATGCAGTGGAACATGCTTACATGCGCACCTAATTATTCCCCCCCTCTAGTTTGAGCATATAAGAAGTTTTAAGCTCTTTTGTGCCACCCATTGAAATTAATTGCATGTGCACAACTACATATTTTGTGCATGTAGCAGAGGCAATATTTTTTTTTGAAGAAATTTATTTCTACATTCTTCAAGAATCTAAAATCCTGCCCTTACAGGGCCTGAAAGATGGTGGGACTCATGGAGTTCTGCCAGCAGGCAGGCAGGGAGCAGGCTGCATAGAGTCTACACATGGGGGGTCTGCAGCCCCCTGAGCAAAATGCAGCTGTGCCCTTTTGGGGTTTCATTTGCAACAGCATTATATGAAAAAAAGCAAATTCTTCTGGGAAAATCCCACTAAACGTGTTACTGTAAGAGGCTTTGGCTGAGTTCCCCTGCTTGCTAACAAGGATTCCTAATTCAAATTAGATGCTTGGAACTATCACATGGCAGGTTTAAGCAGGGTTGTATAAATTTAGCAAGCCTGACATATAAGTACAGGAAGTCCCTGAAGCTTGCTGTACTTTTCTCGTAGCCCATATAAATCTCAGGCATTTGTCCTCGCTCAGGAAGGAAAATACTATGTAATCCAATTGCTCAGTTTTGCAGTTTATTGCTAATGAGAAAACATTTGAAAGTTTAAATTAGCTCATTACACTTGCTGGTATAATTTAATATTTAAAGGAAAACAACATGATTCTTTTTTAAAAGCCAATTTCAAACCAAGAAAAATACTCAGAAAATATTTTGGAGCTGAAAACAATATGGAAGGTCTTTTAAAACTCAAACAGTTAGCTAGAGTTAAGCTAGATATGCTTAAATTCTGCTTAAGTCTAAACATATACTACCCCATAAACACACAACAGTATATCGTACAGAATTCATAACTTCAGTATTAGTCATTAGACAGCTGGTTACTAACATTAACTTAAAAACCAACCACAAAAAATATGCACAAAAATGTGACATCAGCTGAATCTATCACCAGCTTATAGTCTTAATTAGCTGTTAATCATTCGCACACAATGTCTATAGTATAATATCTAAGCTCAAACAAACTAGAGTGGGAAAACACTGGAATTCCAATTCAAGAGGGAGAAAACAATGAGAAACAATTACTCCACCCATTTGGAGATACTTGAATTCTCAAATTCCAGGCAAATATATTGCAAGAACATAATGTAAGTGCACTATTTCATTCATACTTGAATGCTTCTGTTTGGGGAATAGTATCATGGGAAATGTTATGCATGCACCTGAACATATTGTAAAATTCTTTCATCATCTAAAATAAATTAAATAGAGAAATGCAAAAAAAAAAAAAAAATTAGCTTGCAAAGTTCAGTATCTAATGAGTAGTTGAAAATGCCACATTTACTCTTCAGATTATATACTTTTATCTTTACTGAAAAATAATTTTACAACTCACAAATTAGCTTACACTAAAAATATTGTGAAAAAATACAAGATGGAAAAAAAATCCAGGGAGAATATTTGACAAAAAATAAAAATCTTTCAATCCAACTATATACATTGTTCAAAACTAAGCTACAAAGATCCATCTGGCTACAGACATTTTAATAATATGTACATGAAGGATGAGCTTAGCACACATTACTGCTGGAAGTACTTTTACAGAGCCTCTCCGTATTTTTGACTTTTGGATGTAGCCAGGCCCCCTTGATTACACAAACAGCAGGTAGTAAATTACAGCCCTCTGGATCCTCTCACATGTTTACATGATCTTGTATTAAAAACAGTAGTAAAATCAGGTCTATGGTTTCATTCAGGCTAATTTAACCACCTACTAGTAGTGGTCAGGCTGTTTTCAGTTAAGACAAACATTTGAGGATCCCAGAATTACAGCAATACAACAAAGCACATCATGATTTCCTAACACTCATCAACAACACTAAAATTCTGGGCAGAAAAAAAAAAGTTTTTCGGTAAGGCAGCATGCCTATGGATTAATATTATGACAACTAGTTCCTCAGCAAGCTATAACAAATTCCAAAGAAATGCATAAGAAAAGTAAATAGCTGCCTGCCTTGTGACATCGCAATTGCAGTCTGGGAGGTCTGAATCCACACTGCAGTCCTCTGCCATCCTCACAGCACATAAATCCTCTCCTACCACCATGAAACTTGCCAGTACTAAAACCAAGAACTTGCAGTCCAAAAGCTTGTAGCCCAGCAGACTGTGCTGCAGGCAAGCTTGCCTTTGCGAGTACCGTATAAAAATGCTCACATTCCGAACAAATGTTAGTAGACCCGGCCTGCTAACATGAGACTAAGCGGTGACAAGTGGTCATGTTTCTAAATAAAACTTACATTCATCAACATGCGCCAGGCTTGATCTCCTGGAATGTAGGCCATGAGTGTCAGGAAGGGGGGGGGGAGGAAACAACAACCTTCAGTTGTAAACTTAACTGCCCAAGAAAAGTCCTGTATAAAGCATGCAGCCACACACTACTCCTTTACTGTGCACATATGCAGCTGGCCTATTTATCATAATGGACAATTCGTAGGGAGAAAACTTTCCAACCATGAGAGGCCAGAAATGGGAAATCACTGTAGTAGAGAGGCAGCTGTCTTTCTGGGGAGTTCTCCCTTCTCCTCCCCTCCCTTCCACAGAAGGAGTCAGAGGGTGGTGAAAAAAAAGTGAAAAGGAAATATGCTGCTGAAAAAGAAAATAGGCCAGAAAGAATATTTAAAATGATCACCCCAAATGGCATGAAAAATTAATTTTCTGACTGAAATATTTTCTCCAGGAAGAACAACTTGCTGTAAACAACAGAACATAACATTTTAGCCTATTCAGAGGTTAAAGTCAAGAGTCTTTAATACAAGAGATGTCATTTAAAAACACAAATAACATGTTATGTAGCCAAAATATATTATATTCTTATTCATCTTCTGAAACAAACATACTATGAGTCTGCGTTCCTAAGAGAGACAAAGTGGGTGAGCTCTGTGTAGTTTGAAAGCTTTGCTATTTCACCAAATGAAGTTGGTTCAATAAAAGATATTTCCTCACCCACCTTGTTTCTCTAATATTGTGGACCATCACACTACGACTCTGTATTCTATTTTCCTGTAAATAGGTATTTCCCATTGGTGGATGGCTGCTGAAAACAAACCAATAAGCACATTCGAGCAAAAGATGGCCTTGGCTTGACAGAGAGAGCAGAAACATGGAGAATGTATGCACAGAGTTAATATTAATATTGTCAAGGATCCAGAATGCAGAATTTGCACTATAATGTCAGCAGTGCCAAAAATAAGCTGCATTTTCCAGCTGAACGTATGAAAATAGTAACATACTCTGATATACCAAATTTCATCCAAAGTATTTTACAAACTGGTTTTTGAGATGTGGGCATCTTTCCCTAGGAACTGGTCTTAGATCACAAGCTCATTTCAAACAGGTTAACCAACAGACATTAGATAAGTCACAACCCACTTAGGCCAGAGACGAATTGGCAAAAGCTCTCTATCCCTTCAGCAATCTTTTGAGCCATTCACTACTCCAAGTTTAGTCACATGATATACAAACTTCACATAGGGATCCCTTCACTCACAATTCAAATGCAGCCAGCGCTGTGGTGATAAGGGGCAACACTAAATTTATTAGGTAAGAAAGTATCCAACGGAAGTTGACTGGGAAATAGAGGCAAATCTGTAATCACACAAATTAATCTATGGCGAGACTATCACTCTGTACTTGAGGAAAATGGCATGGGAAGTTCAACAAGTGTATAACAATTCAGTTTTACAGCTCAGCTGAAAAGACCACTGAGAAATAGAATCCTGAGACCCTGATCACCCTCCCAAGGCATAACACTAATCCGTAACACACAGATATCTAGAAGTACACTTTGCCATCTGCATATACCATTGCTTCTCGCTGGAAACCTCTTAAAGCTTGGCCTGGGCATAGTTATGTTTAAACATTAGAAATGCCTTCAAGAGAAACGTATAGAATTAAGGTAAGTAACTGTTTTGCTTAAGACCCGGTGAGACACCACATCCTCTGAAAGCATCAGACTTTTAGTCTGTAAGAAATGTCACTTCCTGAATAATATTACATTAAAACAAAACACAGCTACCTTCATCTTAAAAGATCTGTACCCCTTAATGGCTTTGCCACTGTGAAATTCACTGACTCCCCACACTCACAGAATTCCGAGGAGGAATATTGTAGTACCAGGGTCGGGGAAGTGACCAAACATATTTACAGAACCTACTGGATAAAGAAAGAAATGTAAAAGGAATTGCTGCAAATAGGACACTAGGAATTGGTACAGATAGAAGTATCTTTCGAGTTACGGAAACTCAAGCAACATGTTGAACATCCTTTATACTGCAGAGTACAGACACAATAGCCAAGGCTATGGAAAAATGATTGTCTATTAGCTGGAGAGTAGTTGCACGACAGCTCAGAATGGACATTAGAAATTTAAACGAATATTCTTCATGTACTAACCGAGAATCACATGTGCACAGTATATACTTCTGTAGATAACCTACTGCAAACAACTTTTTTTTTTTTTTTTGCAAGCTACTAGGCCCAATGTCTACATTATTTTCTCTCTCTCCCTCTTCACTAATCGAAAAACAGATAGAAAAACTAAACCACCACCCATAAACTGTCCTTTGGGTAGGATTTTTAAAAGTGATTCACTTAGCACCCTTTGTGCTGCCCTTTAAAGAAAACTAAAGATTTACATCTTGCTTTAGGCACCCCCTTTCAACCTAAATGACCACCCTTGACCAGAAGACACTACACTTCTGACTGCAGCAGTCTTGGTCATCCTAATAGATACTGGTTTTGAACTTCCTGAAGCAGATACAGTGGATCAGGAAGGATAAGTTCAACCAAGCATGTAGGCTGAGAGCAATTACAGATCACAGTTAAGTGGACGGAGTGCATGGAGACAGGTAAGAAAAAGTTCTGAGTCCTTCCTTGAGCTAGGAACTCAGCTGCCTTATGAATTCCAATAGAGGATTCTATTCCATGAAATGTTTAAAAACAAAGCAGCTGTTTTTACCTGGCTGCAATCAGATCCAGAAGGTGTTGCCATCTGTCATTGACCTTGCCAAGTTTATATTCGATTTCTGATGCTTTGCTCTCATGACTGGCTTTGGCAAGACGCTCTCCCATTTGCTGGAGCTGGATTTTATTCTCTTGGGCCATGGCAATTTCATCTTGATAATCCTAGATGGCAAAGAGGAATCACAGAGATCAAGCAGCTTATTCAGAACACATTCAGCTCAGCGCTGCTGGAAGAACTAGAATAAACATAAGCAGTGTCTAATACTAAGTTGGAAATAGTTTGGTGAATGAACAAATCCTTGTAAACACCACCACCATATAAACATAAATAATCAAAAGAAAGAAAAATATTTTGCAAATGCATGTACAATAATTCATAAGTGGTTTACGGACACTTGTGATCAGGCATTTAGTAAGCATTCACCTTTCTTGGTGGTGTATTCATTTGGGGTATTTCTTTGTATTTTGAGAAATCCACTTCAAGAAGCACAGGGAAAAGGCACATAATTAGAGAAAAACATTGACAAAAATTCTCATTGGAACATACAAACTGCCATATATTGGATCAGACCAGTGGCCCATTTAATACAGCGTTCTGTCTATAACACAGGCTAGTACCAGATTATTCAAGTTCTGATAACCCAGAAAGAGAAGAGGAAAAGGTGCACATAACAGTATTTAAACATATAAAACCAAAAGAACTTTACCTTCTTGAGTTTCTCTATCATCTCTTCAATGAGGATGTCTCCATTTTGAGACACCTTACTCTCCATTTGTGTCAGCCACTCACAGAGCTCCTTGTTCTTCTCACTGAAGACTGCCCACTCATTCAGTCTCTCATTCACCTGCTGCCGACGCAAGGAGATCTTGTAATGTTTACAGAGGGAGTCAATAAAAGAGAGTAAAGTTAGTAGATGAGAACACTAATTCTCAGAGGTAAATTCTCAGCCCTGCAAAGAGTTTTAGCTACCTGGCTGCCATTAAGGTAAATGGGAGTTGTGCTACAAAAATCTTGCATGACTCATTATAAATTCAAGGTCAGCATTAATCTCAGGATGCCGGTAGCCAGATCCTGTTGCACACGGGGAAGAGTATACTCTAAATATAATTTGCTTCATGATAAGATACAAACCTGTGGTCTTTAATTCAGGTTTCCATAGCACAGTTAAAAAATAGCCCTTTCCTTGTCTTTAGAGTCAATATTTTCATTTATTAAGAATTACAATGTACATTGATACTTTTGTTTCTTTATTTGGAAGTACAAACTCCAACAGAGACAGATTGTTTAGCACAAAATAGATGCTTGACCCTTAGAACAATGACATTTTTAAGACAGCAAACCAAATGGATGTCCAGGAGGATGCATACATGGTATGGGCAAACTATAAACAATTGGTATGTAAATTGTATCTGCAAAATGTGTGCACGGATGAGATAGGCAGCACTCATAAACCAAGCAATTGCAAATGCATGTGCAATTCCATGCTTGTGTCCACATGCACATATTTTGTGAGTGCCTCTAATTTTGCAACATTGGTACTCCGTGACCAGAGAGTCCCAAGGGCTAAAGAATGCTATGACAGAAATGAACAGGCGATAAGTGCAGACTGAAACAGAGAACAAAGCAACAGCATACACAGGAAATGGAGGCTTGTCACACGTCACTTGAAAAGTAAGCGACTGCTGTATATTTAAGAAATTAGAAGAACGATATTTCGATCTCAAACTGTGAATTACAAGATATTTGGGCAAATATGAAGAGGACTTGAAAGAATATTAAACACAGTATTCACAGTAAACTAATCTCTCCTGTCAAAATTTCTGATAATCGCATGGCTACAATGTAATGGCATCCTACTTACTACAGCTTCTTCCTCCTCATCTGAAATATGAGTTGCTTCTGACTCTACATCAGCTCCACTGATCATATGAGCATTGCACCTGCTCTTTCATATATAACTTACTGCTCTTCTAACTGAAGCTTTTGATTTTTAAAGTCAGATACAAATGACAGCACATTTCCTTTTGTGGTAACACCCAACTACTGAACAAGAAAAAAAAGCCTCATTCATTTGGTTACATCCTGGAAGGTTAAATATGTAAATAACAAACTAAAAAGCAACAGAGAGTCCTGTGGCACCTTTAAGACTAACAGATGTATTGGAGCATAAGCTTTCGTGGGTGAATGCCCACTTCTTC